TATGTGCACCATAGGGATGTTAGAGTACATAAAACCCAACAATGGTATCAGAGCCATGGGTGTTTTCTATTGTATTGATGCAATTGTATAATTTTCAAAGCTGAAAATCTGCATTCCGGGAATCTGCCAGGGCCAACTCGCCGAGTCCATGATTGAACGCGACGAGTTGGATGAAGTTTGTCTTGAAATCGACGAGTCCTTTTATGGCACTCCACGAGTTGATACATCTGATGGCAGAATCTTCGAATTTTTGGCCTGTTTTGGATTAGAAACATCACCACAAACTGTTTTGGTTCATAAAAATTGTTTTTAATGATATGGTAATGTTAATCCCCATCCAATAACATGATTTTTGTCAAATTCTAAGATAACTACTTGTTTTATGTAATACTAGTTATTTGTATAATTTGAAGTTATCATGAAATATGAATCAAATTAGGTCAAATTGGTAAATAATCATCATATGATAATTAGATTAGTTAATTTGATCTATAGTATTTCTTGAAGAGTTCTATAATTTGTCCTCAATTTATGGAAAGTGAAAAGTCACATCATTCATGAAACATTAATTTTCATAAGTTATGAAATACCAAAGGTCATGTAAAGGTCATAACTTGTCCTCAAGTTATGGAATTGGAAAGGTCTCATTTATGCAAGTTTAAAATCCATAAGTTATGAATTTCAAAAATTTTGACAAGTTACAAAACTTGCCCTCAAGTTTTGGAACTTGAAAAGTTACATTAATGAAACTTTAATTCCAAACCCTAGAATTTTAAAAGTCTACAACTCATGGGTTCATAACTTAAAATTAATTAAATGTTTTAATTTGATTTAACATCTTGATTTGTTTTGAATGGTTCAATTAAATCTTATGGATTTTTATTAATAGTTAATTAAATGTTTAATTAAAATAGTATTATTAAATCCATTATCATATGGTTTAGAGATTAAATAAATTAAAAGTATAATTTATTAATTAAACCATCAAGTATTTTAAAAGTTTAAAATACACCCTTATACTATATAAAATTAAATGTCTAATATATTATATATATGTATAAATTAAAGGTCAGTCTTACCGTTAGTAGGCCTCATTCACAAATCCGGTCTATAAGGGGGTATAAGGTTACTGCCTCTAAAATGGTGGTTTAATGGGTGTCCACTCTCACCTACTGCTTCCTTGACTGGTGGAGGGTCGTTAGCCGAACGGGTAGGATAGGACATTAATCTTCATTAATAAGTATAATGATAATTATTAAAGTAACTAAACTTTTATAAAATTCCCAATCTTAGTTACTTTAGGAAAAATGTGAAAATGGTGCTATCCCATGAAATTGCACTTTTCACCTTGTTAAGTCGTTAGTGGAGCGTGTGTGGTTAACCGACACACTAATCTGGGACTGACAATATGTGGAAAAGGGTAGCTTGTTGTTAATCATGGATCAATGGAGCGTGTGTGGTTAACCGGCACATTGATCGGATGATTTGTAACATTAAGTGTACCAAGCCAATTTGCATGGTTATTCACACCTTGTTTGTGATCCTCGGTATCCCAGTCACAAACTTGAGAGGGCACAATCGAGATTTAAACATGCCATTGAAAAGTTCAATGAATCTCAAAGGATCTAGGAATTTCAATCCAATTAAAACATAATAATAAATTTCGTTTTTCATGGTGGAAATTGGTAAATCCTCATTTACCTACCTTCAAATATTCTGCAATTTGATTACGACATCCCTCTTCCGAATTGTAGAATATTGTGTTGGGTCCTAGCCTTAATATTTCATTTTGGTTGTTATAGTAAGGACATAAATCAACTAACTTGAATTTCTCCCTTGTAGATATCTAATTCTCACAACTATGGTCTTCCCGAATCTTTTGGGAGAAGCTTTCCCAATGAAGATAGAATTCCACATGTCGATCGAGGTGAAAGATCAATCCCTTTGTTGTACATTAGTGGAAATGGAAATCATACTTCTCTTTCTCTACCTCCTCCAATTATTCTGCCTGAACCACATGTTCAAATACTTGAAAAGTTCAAGGTCACTCAAACCCTATTGGCAAGAAAACACCAAGATGGAAGGTCTATGTCTGCACATGTCTTGGATATGAATTCACACATTGACAAGCTGAGAATGTTAGGAGTCGATGTCTCGAGGAAGTTGGCTGTTGACTTGGTTCTTCAATCACTTCCTGAGTCATATAGTAAGTTTGTTAAAGATTACTATATGACAGACCGCGACGTGACCCTTATCGATCTTACCTATTTGCTAATTGCTGATGAATCAGAAATGATTTGGCGCACTGGTAATGCAAATTTGATTGGAAGATCTACTTCCCAAACTTCCATGGACATGGACAATGGAAACATTGGATGTCCAGAAAAGTCTTCTCTTCCCAATGGAAAGGGATCGGCCATAGTCAACCCGGTTGACCAAATGGTAAATGTAACGACCCAAATTTTCCAAACTATTTTTTTTCAATTTTAATTAATCAAACCATTTTTCATAAACCATGAAATCCCAAAACAATTGTTTTCAAATACACATCTATTACAACTTTATTTAAAATCATCAGAGTGTCCCATAAAATGTCGGTGAGAGAGTGCACGCCGCGCCATCACGCCTTGCCCTTGCCCTTGGGCTCAGATGTACCTGAAAAAATCCACAAACTGTAAGATAATGCTTAGTGAGTCCCCCAGAGCATACCCCACACACAAACCACATAAGACATATCAAATTAGCTATAAAGCTACATATATCACATAAGCCATGCATACAAAATATAAGGAAGCCCTGGAAACCCTCTAGGGTCTTACACCTAATGCCACGGGAACCCCCACGTGGTCCTACCTGCCATGGGAACCCCCACATGGTCTTCCTGTCTTGGGAACCCTCACAAGGTCTTCTTGCCTTGGGAACCCCCACAAGGTGTTCCTACCAAACAAGACATAATGCAAACTATACAAGCAGATATACTAGGATGCCATGGAAACCCTCCAAGGTCTTATACCAAATGCCACGGGAACCCCCACGTGGTCTTCCATGCAAATGTCATACTATTATATTGCCTATTCAATCAACAATTTGCATCACATAAAATGGGTCGGCCTTGGTGCCTTAGACCCATTGGTATGGTGAGAAGACTCACCTCCGTCCGAAGAATCCGAAAGATGCTCTCCTAACTGTCCACAACCACCCACACTGAATATTAACATTAACCAATGTTAGGACCTCACTTGATCAAAGGGAAACCCAAATCCCAAGTCCTTCCATAAAGGCCCAAATATCCTTTCTTTGTTAATGGGCCCAAGTCCATGTCCAAAAATCATTAATGGGCCTCTTGGCCCAATAAGGCCCTACCATAACATCAATGGCCAAAAAAAGCTAAAATGGCCCACTATTCCCAAAATGCAACAAAGTCCAATAACCAAATGGGGCCCAACAGCTCAAAGGCCTAAAACAGATTCAAGCCCATATGTGGTGCGTACGCTTAGCGTACCACCCTGGTACGCGCAACGTACTGGGTCTATGGGAATTACGCGTAGCGTACACTAAGGTACGCCCAACGTACTAACAGATTAGGCACTTTCTCCATTAAGTGCTTAATACTCGATTCCCTTACATCCAAAAGTTAGATCTAAGCTTATTAAGACGACCTAGGGCATAAAGTTGGCAACTTTATGCCTTTGCATGTCTCATATGTTCCCAACACCCCCATTAAGACCTTTTTAAAGTTCTTAACCCATGCATGAGGTCAAAACACCCACCAACACTTCATTTTTATGTTGCAAACGGACCCAAGAACCTCAGATCTCTCATTTCCATCCTCTGGAGTTACTCAACTCACAAGAGGAGATCCAAAATCAACAAAAGGGACAAAACTAGAAAACCCTAGCTAGATCTAGAGATTAAGATAGAAAGGTCCAAGCTTTATACCTCCAGAAGCTCCTCAAGGTCGACTATATGCATATTCTTGAAGCCAAATGACACTCCAAGCTTCCTTGACAACTTCTCCTTCTTGAATGAACACTATAAGGACCACAAATGTACACTTAAGGATCAAAATGCACTCACAAATGGTATTAGGGTTTTCAGAAACGTTTGAGGGTGAAGGAGGTTGTTTAGGGTGAGGCTCAAATGAGTTAAGGGTGTTTATATAGGTCTCAAGTCCGAATTTTAGCGTTTGGACATCCAGCACGTACGCCCAGCGTACGTGCTGCCCTTCCGCACTACTAGAAAAACAGTCTTTTACGACGCGCAATGCGTGTTGTAAAACACTCAGACGACACTCAAATGCGTGTCAAGGAAAGCCCTGTCATAACGAGAGACGACGCGCATTTATGACACGCAATGCGTATCATTAAAACCCCTGTCAAGAAAGGCCATGTCATAAATGAAGTGACACATATTTTTGCGTATCGTAAATTTAAATGTTTAAAAAATATATATTTATATATTTATTAATTTTTAAATTAAATTTGCACTTAATGTCTCATAATAGAAATAAAATACCATATACAAAAAATACAATCCATTGCATAAAATTTAATGTCATACAATTATTTTTCTTACAGTATATAAATTTGCATTCATCTAATCTACTCTGTGTTTCATACAAAAAATCTATTTCATGCGGCTTCTTCCATTTCCTTTATTAGCAACTTCCATCATTAGTAGAACAACTAACAATTGAAAGGAAAAATGCAACACTTGTATATCTGCAAAAAAAACTTGAAAAAAACAACAAAGATAAGCATAGAGTCCAACTTTCTTAATCATCTTAATTAACTTCACCAAATCATACCTATTTTCGAAATAATACTGGGAAAGAGAAAAGAAATCTTGAAATTAAGAAAATGATTTAGTAAATTAAAATAAAATATTATTTTATTTCAAGAAATACTTACTTGACAAGGTTATGATTCATGTCCATTCCAGAAAAGATAAGTTTGAATCACATCTAACCCTCCTTCTTTTTCCTTCTGGATAACATCTGGTCACATCTGGAACATCAAAGTACAGAATGTGTTATTGTGAACATTGTCTTTTCCTGGTTCTTCAACTTTAACATCAACTTCAACAACCTATAAATAGAAAAACACAACAGGCCCTTGTATCATATATAATATATGTAAACAATGTAATTTTTCATACCACATAATTAATAGTTTGATTTGTGCTCCATTTTGGAATTAGGCTAAGTTTTTTTACAAAAGCAGCAAGTAATGAGGGAATGAAATGGAGTATAACCACATAATTAATGGAAAACTGAACAAGGTATTGGTATCCATGAGCATTACGAACATCCTCCCTCATTCTGATATCACCAGCCTCTGCAGAAACCATGATAAAACTATTAAATTCAATGTTGAATGAACCTTTTTTTTTATAAATAATAGTAATCAATGTACGAGAAGGAAACAGAGGAAGCAACTGACCAGGTCTATATGACAATTCTATGCATTCAAGCAACAAGTCCACAATTCCCATTGTATATGCAGGGTCTCCAATTTCCGGCTTGAAGTCCCTCACACCAATTAGTAGTACTTTTATCTGCATATAATTTATAAATGTATCAGAAATTTCATACACTAGGATCTAAAAGGGCGGACTATAGATATGAGATCATTACCAACTGATGCCTCCTAATGTACTTGGTGGTGCTTCCATTGTCATTAGCCATAAGAAGACCAAGTATCTGGATAACAGAATAAGATAAAGAACAGTCACACTTCCTCTTACATAACATCTATCAGTATATAAATGGCTACACTAAGTGATAAGGTTGAAAAGTCACCTGCATTGCATGTCTATGGAGTTGAATACTGTGTAAGGGTACAAGACCTTCCTTATATCTTGAAAATAAAATTAAAGATCCATTGGCAACCATCTCAAAGAGTAGTTGAAGTGACTTGTCTTCAATTAAACTCTGAGCAGTTGCAGGATGGCTTGCCAATGCCTTCATAATATGCACAACACTGCCTTCTACCTTCAAAGATAAAAGAGATCATTAGCAAAATAGAGTGAGTTACAACTCTAACAAATATCTGCAAAAGTGATGACACATATGGTATACCACAAGGCGTCGATATGGACCTGGGCTATCCATGGCTTCTGGTTCCTCTTCAATGGATGTTACCTTTTGCCTTGTATTTCTTCCATTATGACCCAAAAGGGCATTGAGAATATAAATCAGACAACATAAGATCCCAGAATCAAGGATAGATTGTTTATCAATAGGCTGCCAACAACATACATGGATGGGCCCATTATTTAAATAAAGATTTATACCAAAAATCCAAAAAACAAATTCTTCCTGTTATGCAACTTAAAGAAATTATTAGGTTAAGAATGTACCCCAGATACAAGAAATTCAACTCCCTGCAAAAGATTTGAGCCAGGCTGAATTCCATCCTACAGAGATAGAGACAGAAATATTAGTGCATATTGAAAAGGTTGATAACTCAATTTAAGTGAAAGTAAGCAAGAGATATAAGAGACAAAGAGAAAGATTTGAAAGGAGACCTCTGTGACCTCCAAAAAAATAGCCCATCAAACTTTCAATCTCTAACAGGCGTGCTTTGTTACTCAATATAAGCTTTTCGATATCTGTAACAAATGCTCTACCAACCACAAAAAAAGAAAATATGTGTGTCTCTACTAACCTGCAAACAAAGAGACATGTGTAAATAGAGTAGAGAAAATAAAGAGGAGATGAAAGGACAAGTGAAGTGATTGTCATACATGGTAATCAATTGTGCTACATTAGAATGTTGCTTTACAAATATACAAAAGACATCGATTGTCATATTCAAGCCCTTTTCTTTTTCCTGCATAAACATTATATAATTCATAAGCCTGGTCAACAATCTCTACAAATAGCCAAAAAGGTGAAAGCTGTGCACTAACCTTCTCCGCAGATGACGAACGAAACTCTTCCCAATGTCTCTTGAAGTCCAATTCCAGTTCATATTTGTCTATGAAGGAGATAAATGTAAATCATGACCTTTCATCCGTTCTTATAATGGAAATTTTACAGTCTTATTCCTTTTATAAGAGAAATCTAAAACTGAGATCTCAAAAGCCATAATAATAGAGGAAACAGTAAAAGTTGATTTATAAGATGTGACTTATTATGAGAAAGAGCTTCATCTATTATGAGTAGCCACTCTTACATCAAAGAATAATTAGAAGCAATAGAGTGAGAACTATAGTAACCTTATTTAAGCAGCATAAAGATATAAGTACAATAGTCCTATATCCCAAACCTTGTATTATAATTATCAGAATCTTGTAATAACAGAGGATTATGATCAGTTATTCAATCTACAGGTGGTGACGAACATCTGGAATCTATTCTTTGGGATATAGACTACATAGATTAACTATTATAGCCATAAATTACATATCAGATTGTATGTTGTGTAGCAAATATCATCAGCTTTTTCATATCCCAATAACAAGAAGTCGATAAAAGGATTCAAAAACTTAAAGCTAAGGTCTATCTCTTAAACCCTAGATCATTCCAATTGGAAGACTTCCTGCAAACCCTTTACATTTAGTAAATCTTCAGCCCTGCTACTTCAAGTTCTTGGCAAGTTGAAACGATATCATTTTATGGTGAGAAAATAAAATGGAAGAAAGAAAGCAGTTGTTTACATGATCAGCGAGAATCAATTTGCACATCAATATCTTTGAAGCCATAAAACATAAAAGAACCCTTACCTTGAAGAAGAAGAAGAGAAGTAATTGGTGAGGAAGAAGTAGCATTGTTGTTATTATCAGGATAGAAAGATGATAGAGAGGTAGATTATGATGGAGAAGATGCAGCAGATGCAAGCGTTGTTGTGGTGTGATGTTGGAACGGTGGAGTCCGAGAGAAAACACAAATTGTGATGGGTAGCTATCGTTGTTGGTGATGTCTAATTCATCAAAAGCCCCAGTTCTTAGGTTAATCGTCTATTTTGTGAAAGAAGATATTACCATTGAAAACGCGTTATGTTTGATTAGGGTTTACACAGAGAAGGAAGTGAAAGTCGATCGTAGAGGAAGGGGTTTGCAGAGAGAAGGAATGGAGAGAATGAAGTCGATCTGGCAGGTGTAGAGAGTACAGAGGAAGAGGAAGGCGGGTGTTCAAAATTTTGGGGGATTTCGTTTTCCCTCTTACCTATCAAGGAGTCCCAGAAACGCGCGTTTATTAAAATTATAAAGTGACATTTATAGAGGACACGCTTTTTATGATAGGTGCCCTCCGTGTTTCTTTTTTTATTGGACATTAATTTTAGGGCACGCAAAAATGTGTGTCCTCTATCCTTCAAATTTTGGAAGGCTGACATTATTTTAAAGGACACAGAAAAATACGTATCGTAAATCAGAGAGTGTCATTGTTTGCGCGTCATTAAAGCGTATTTTTCTTGTAGTGCCGCGATCCTCCTTGCCATGTACGCTAAGCGTACTCATAAGTACACCCAGCGTACTTAAGGGCTTCTTATGTTATATTTGAAATACTTCAAGGGCTACAAGGCCATACCTGATTTGGAGTGTTACAACTCTCCCCCACTTGAACAAGACTTTATCCTCGAAGTCCATAGCTGCGAATAGATCGGGATAATGCTCCCGCATCTCCTCCTCTGGCTCCCATGTCCATTCGGATCCTTTTCGGTGCTGCCATTGCACCTTTACAAGCTTCACTTCTTTGTAATGAACACCATTTGTCTTCCTGTCTAAGATGGCTACCAACCTCTCGATGTAGTTTAGGATCCCATCTACCTGAATATCGTCCAGTGAAATGACTGCGGACTCGTCAGTGACACACTTTCGAAGCTGAGACACATGGAAGGTGTTGTGAATTTGGTTAAGTTCCCTCGGCAGATCCAAGCGATATGCCACCTTGCCCACCCGGGCCGTAATCCTGAACGGGCCTATGAACCGAGGCCCCAACTTGCCCCTCTTCCGAAATGTGATAATTCCCTTCCAGGGTTACACCTTCAGCAACAAAAAATCCCCCACCTGAAACTCAAGGTCCGATCGCCGTCGGTCAGCGTAAATTTGCTGACGGCTGTGCGACCCGCAGCCGATCGCGCACCTGCTGAATCAAACCGATAGTCTTCAGCACTACTTCAGTGCTCCCCATGACCCGGTGCCCAACCTCGTCCCAACAAACCGGGGTCCTACACCTCCGACCATATAACATCTCGAATGGAGCTCGATTGATACTTGAATGATAACTGTTATTGTACGAAAACTCTGCCAATGGGAGGTACGTATCCCAACCCCCTCCAAAATCCAACACACATGCTCGAAGCATGTCCTCCAGCGTCTGGATCGTCCTCTCGCTCTGGCCATCGGTAGGGGGATGGTACGCCATGCTAACATGTAGCTGAGTGCCCAGTTCCTCATGGAACTTCTTCCAGAACTTGGATGTAAACCGAACATCCCTGTCAGAGACTACCGACACCGGCACCCCGTGTCTGGCCACCACCTCTCGTACATAAATTTTCGCCAACTTCTTCGCGGATATACTCTCAGAAATTGGAATGAAGTGGGAACTCTTCATCAGTCTGTCCACGATCACCCATATAGCGTCTACACCCCTCGCCGTCCTCGACAACTTCGTGATGAAGTCCATAGTGATCTCTTCCCACTTCCACATGGGAATGGGTAGCGGCTGAACCTTACCATGAGGTTGTTGATGCTCAGCCTTGACCTTCCTGCAGGTCAAGCACCGCTCCACAAACCATGCGATCTCCCGCTTCATGCAGGGCCACCAGTAACTCAGTCTCAAATCTCTATACATTTTTGTAGCCCCATGTAACAGCCCATTATTTCACGTTAAACATGAATTTTTGATAAAGGATTATTTAGAATAAATAATCTTATCTAAGTTGTAGTATATGTCACAAGGTTTCCAAAAATATAAAGAACGCCGAAATCCGAGTTATAACGAAGAAGTTATGACCAATCGAAGATCCGCGACAGAACCGGCACAACGTTGTGCGACGTAAAAAGTGAATTTACAATCGAATGCTTTTTAGCCTTAGCAATAAAAATTAAAGTCGTAGAATACGTTAAACCGAGAGTTTACATAAAAATAACGTTCAAATCTGACTTCGTATGAGGAAGTTATGATTTTTCTAAGAATCGGCATAGTAGTACACAGCCCAAAACTAGAAATAAAGATCGAACGATTTTTAGCCGAAACAACCTAAACGAGAATCAAAGATCTTGTCATTTGTAGTTCCACGGTAAAAAGACAGACGAAAACGGATGTCGGATGAAGAAGTTATGAATTTTTAACGGACTTTTCCTATCCCGGCCTGTTAAAAATATAACTTTAAAAATAAAGTCAAACTTAGCCGACAGAGTCTAAATGAAAGTTATAAAGCTTGATCTCACCTACGCTTGGATATAAAGAACGTCAAAAACGGAGCTCATATGCAAAAGATATGAATTTTTGAAGTTCTGGGCACAAACTTCGAGGATGACCGAAGCCGTACGCCCAATGTACTTCGTTTGTACGCCCAGCGTACTCGGAAACAAGGTCAGCAGCCGGCCATGTCGCCTCTTCTTCGCACGGTTGACACGTTTTCTCACACCACGACACGTCCGAGCCACGTATCTGAGAACTTGACGTGTGCCACTCACACCCCGCGTACGAGGGGAACACCCCGCGTAACCGAACGCTCAACGCTCCTCGCAGGAACGCCCAGCATACCGAGGACCAGCCCACCCCTATAAATAAGATGCGAGGTCTCCGGGTTTGTGTTAGAAAATTTAACCCTCTTTCATTCTAAACTTATTTTTAAGCCTCTCTACACTACCCCGACGCCCCGGTATCATATCCTAGTCCTGAAGCAAGCCCCGAAGTCCTCGAGAAAATAATATTTTACTGTCGAAACTCTGCCCACGTAAAGCCCGGTTTTCATCAGAAAGTCGCGGTTTTGTCAAGGAAAATCATTTATAGAAACGAAACGCTGCCCAAATCACCACTTATCAGGTGAGTTCATACCCCTACATTTTCATGATTTGTAACTGTTTTAGGGGGGGGGGGGGAATACCAGTTGAACACAATAAAAATTGTGTTAATACCTAAAATGCTTTTAAATGTTTTTACAGCTTTTAAATTGTTATAATTATCAAAAATTACATATTTATATATGTGTAAATTATATAATTTGGATTCAAAAGATTTAGAATATATAATTTGACCTCACTTCCGATTCCTTGTTTGGTTGTGGGCTTGGGGTAAAGTTATATAATCGAAGGTCTAATTAATTACGATTATATAAATATTACGTTTATATAAATATTACGTTTATATAAATATAAAATGGTTTTCTAACTGTTTGGTACTATTTTGTACAAACAGTGAACTTCCTGGAATAACATTATTACCCATTTTTACCACAATTAAACTATAATAAGTATAGTTTAGAAAACTCATTCATTGGTATTTAACAGAAAACAAGTAGAAAACATTCTTTAGAAAAAATCAATCAGAAAACAACCATATAAACAATATCTTATATAGCTTATGAAACTGACCTACTTGTAAGGTCGAAATTTCTTGTAATATGTCGAAATGTCGAAATCTGTGTAATAGTCATTTTGTATGTTTCGTATACATTTGCTAAGGCGTCTTAGTTGTCGAAGCATAATGTCTATGCCTTAGTATTTTTTGTAC